TTCATGATGAAATCCTGTAACCAATCTATCAAATCCTTACAAACCAATACTTGAATATCAATGAGACGCTCACTCGCGGCTGGCCTCATTCAGGTAGGTAGTTACCTGGGTTCTAGTGAGAAGTCGTGACCTGTAGGTTACAGCAGGTAGGGAGTGAGTACAAATACTCGCCAAACACATTAGTTGGTGGTCAGAAGTTGTACTTCATCGGCTGGCCATTGGGTTAGGTCTCGGTGGTTCAATGGATGGTCTGTGAATTAGGATATTCAAGACATAAGTTAATAATTTTCAAGAGTTGGTTCGTAAGGATTAGATATGTTTACATGCGTTTGACCACGGATTGTTATTAGTTAGACAGCCATTGAAAACCAGCTAGCATTACTGGACAGCTGTTTCATCCTATTTCAGGAATCATCGGCAGTACGCACCCACCATCAGGGTTCGAACCCGGGACCTCCAGTTTACAAGGTAAGCCCATATGCCATTCAGCCACTGGGACCCGATTGCATGGCCAGCCAATCCCTGGATTCTAACTTCTACTAATTCGTGATTTAATGAGAGACCACCAACCAGTGTCATCGGTGGGACATCCGTCCTCATACTTGACTGGTTAGACCTCACTGGTCATAACTTGTCAGGAGAACTGCAGGAAACTCCGTCCTGTAGCAAACCACTAGCGAGCATCAGATTAATTTTCAATAGTTGGTTTGTAAGGATTAGATTTGCTTTGACGAGTACCGCCGATTATTCGCAAAACTAGGTTGAAACAGCTGTCCAGTACTCCCTGCTAGTTTTCAATGCTTCTCTAAGTGGTACCGATCCCGTGGTCAAACTCGTAAAAATAAGTTAATAAGCAAATACTGTTACGACCGAAACCACATCGTTGTGGTGTAAACGCAAGGAAACTGATCCCTGAAATCCATGGTGTAGCTAAACAAAACTCTCTTTTTAGTTACCCACTCTCTCTCTCACAAATCCTTCACACAGTATAGAATGTCGGAATGACCATCACTCACTTAAGAAAAATCACGGTATAAAACAATGCATTATCAATATTTAGCACATCCAGAAAAAGAAGCCTTCAAATTAGATATTAAACAGTGAAAAAGACAAATAATAGGGATGAAGTCAACATATGATACTCAAATGCCAGAGCAGCGACATACACTCTCAGGAGTAGAATTAATTCAAACACAAAATTTATATACTTTAGAAAATCTGTCAAGGTAATTAGACTTGGAAATAACCAATAAGGGGTTGTCAATCAAAAAATCTCATAAGGTAAAACAACCATGAGACTTCCTTTGAGAATAAAACAGGAAGCGGTGACAATTGTGAAAAAAAAAAGTAGAATGATATATTGCCTTCTAAAGATTATTATCTGGATGTTAGAACGGACAACCTATCTTTACTAGCCATGAAATCATGATTGATGCATGCACTGGCCTGATAAGCTGATTGGACAATTTTTAATTGATTTAATTTTGAAGGATCTTCAAGATCATACAGCCAATCAGATTGTGATTATTTATTTATGGTTTAAATTTCAATTGGTGTGTGAAAACCATACTTTATCATTATTGTTCCCGTGGGTTCCAGGTGAAACATAGGGCATCAACAGCACCACTTCACTTTATCCTCCTCCTCAGCCTCGGCTAAGATTGCCCATAATCTCTAATTTCCTCCTTACACGATCTATTTCGTCCCACATGCAGACCCTCACCCAACTCATTGTTTCCTGTTTGTGTTCCACTGAAGGGTTTAGAGTGTGATGTCACTGGAAGGTCTCCTCATTGGTATGTGTCAGACCCATATGGATTACCTTCGAAATAATTATTGAGCAATAGGTTCATCATTGGTTCGTTCCCATATTTTTTTGATGCTAATTCTCTCTGGTCACCTGATTATCAAAATGGAGCCAGAGAAGGCAACTGTTGGTAAACGTCTGCAGTCATGCACCATGTTTGTGACACATATTGAAGAACTGACCGACTTAATATTGGTGTTGAAAATCCTAATTTGGTTCTTTATTTTGATCGGAACAGATTTCCAAATTGATTTCAGAGGGATGAGCGTCTATCTTGCCCTTCCAATCCTATCTGATTTTGACATCCTCATCTGTGTTTCTTCCTGTACTTGAAACGATCCTTTCTAGATAAGTGAAGATTTTTTCTATTGACGGTGATTGATGTTCACCTGAAGTCCTGTCTCCATTAGTTTTCCCCTGTGTATTTTCCTCGAGTTTGTTTGCACGTAAAATTCAGATCATCTGGAGTCATCTTATCGGTCCAGCGTTTGTCCGTCTTCGCGCTCCCATACGCAGTCTGAGGTCTAATCCAGTCTGTCACAACTAGAAATATCCTCAGTGAGAGTCGACAGCCGCCTCAGTCTACTTCCATGTTTACTTGGAAGACTTCGCTAAGCTTTCCGTCGTCGCGAATATTTTCAAGTGATCAGCTGGATATGGTGTCGTGTTTGGAGGCGGCGCATTGTATTCAGGGCAGATGACAGCCGCGGAAACAATAACACTTCGTGATAATACTGGATTTGAGAGTTTATTAAGGAGATCTAACTATATGTATCTGGGCTAACCTTATTCCGAAAGTGGTTGAGACACCCAATGAAAATCAGTAAAATAACCTCAAATACAATGCCGATCAGACAAAAATAAACCGGTCACACGTGTGTAAAATGAATTCAAAATTGGGCAATAAATGGCAATTTTCCCAGATAAAAATATCCACATTCTGAAGTCTTTGCTGAGAAGGATGTCAGCAAACGAAACAAATCAAGCAAAATGTTTATATTCAATTTTACAAAGCTAATCCAACTTTTCTCATTTAGGTTGATTTTGCAAATTCACATGTCTAACACCAAACTTCTCCGTATTTATTTAGAATATATTATTTTCAAAATTTGAATCACAATGCGAAACGCGAAACCAATTTTTAAAGACCAGTAGAATTTCTTAAGGTACTCACCACAATTTTTCAAGTATCGATCTTTTTGTATGGATTTTGTTTGATTGTTTGGAGGATTTCGTCATGAGCTGACATCAGTTAGAGAACAATTGGAAAATCATCTGGGAGTACTGGACAGCTCTTTCATTAGCTTAGTCTGGAACTCTTCATCAGTACGCACCAGCCGACAGAGTTCAAACCCAGGAGCTTCTGGTTACAAGGCGAGCCAGCTCACAGACCATTAAGCCACTGGCACCCAATCCAACGGCCTATAATGAAATCCTCTAATTAACCAAACAAAATTCCCCTACAAAAACCAATACTTGAAAATTATCCCGATGCTCACTAGACTGGCCCTATTCACGCAGTGACCAAGGGTTCTAGTGGGAAGCCGTGACCAGTTTGGTGCAGCAGGTTGAAGGTGAGGCACTAACTCATCGAAGAAGACAGTGAGAAGTGGTCGCGCTATGTCATGAATTGGCAGAAGTTAGAATTCATGGAGTAACCATTGCATCGGGTCCTAGTGGCTTAATGGTCTACGAGCTGGCTCGCCTTGTAACCAGAAGGTCGTGGGTTTGAACCGTGGAGGTGGTTGCGTATTGAAGAAGAGTCCCAAACCAGGCTGATGAAACAGCTGTGTAGTACTCCCAGGTGGTTTTTCAATGGTTCCTTAACTGATGTCAGTTCATGACGAAATCCTCCAACCACTTCGAAATGTCTAAATTCGGAATTTTTCCACATTCTAGAACAACAAGGTAAAAAATTTAAGACGATTATTTAACCCAAACAGCTTACTTTGTCAAGCCTAAAAAATATTTATCCCCTCCCCGCTATGTTTATAGGTTTGTTTTACAATTTAATAAAAATTTTCATGTATGCAGAATACTCAAACGCTATGCGTGATCCTATTTTTGAACTCAAAGAACATTGTTTCACCAGAATAGCCTGTTGGTTGAAGAATACTTCTGCTCATACTAATCACACCTTGACCCATCAGTTTGGACTGTTAATTTCTCTAAGTACTTCTCAGTAGTCATCCCTTTACGTTTCCAGTGGAGCATAGGGCCTTAAGCTTTATGTTTCGAAGTTTTATTACTTTTCATCATGAGCTGACATTAGTTAGAGAACTATTGGAAAACCTGGGAGTACTGGACAGCCGTTTCGTCCAAGTTTGGGACTCTTCAGCAGTACGCGCCCACCGGGATTCGAACCCAGGACCTTCTAGTTACAAGGCGAGCCCGTATACTATTAAGCCACTGGGACCCGATCCAATGACCGGCACATGAATTCTAACTTCTGCCAATTCACGATATAGCGTGACCCCTAGCCACTTGAATATCAAAGACATGCTCACTAGCGACTTGCCCTATTCAGGTAGGTAGTTACCTGGGATTCTATTGAGAAGTTGTGACCAGTATAGTGCGGCAGGTCAGGTGTGAGGACAAATACTCACCGAAGACATTGGCTAGGGGTCGCGCTATGTCGTGAATTGACAGAAGTTAGAATTCATGCGCCATTGGATCGGGTCCCAGTGGCCTAATGGTATATGAGCTCGCCTTGTAACCAGAAGGTCCTGGGTTCGAATCCCGGTGGGTGCGTACTGCTGAAGAGTCCCAAACTAGGACGAAACGGCTGTTCAGTACTTCCAGGTTTTCCGATGGTTCTCTAACTAATGTCAGCTCATGATGAAAATCCTGTAACCAATCAAATCCCTACAAACCAACACTTGAATTTTATTACTTTTGTTGTTTGTGCGGGACGGGATCGTTAGCCCCACACTGAATCTCTCCTCTTTTCTAGGTCCAATACCGGTAAGGTGACTTTTAGGAGTGACTCGGGCCGCGCGCGCATTTAGCAACCATTCTCCCACTGAACCATCGATGCACCGAAACTGCTATCCACTGCTAGCCAATACGGTCACAGTCATACACATGTCAGTACATAGAAACCACTCGTTAGATCCGCAATACACAGTAATGGCTTTCAATAAAATCTCTTTCATATAGTGAATTTATTTCATTTGCCAACAAGGCGTCTGGAAATAAATTGTATCACTTTGTTCATCATCTCTGCTATCTGTTATCTGATTGGTCAGTTTATCCAACCAATAGAATATTCCTAACATGTAATAAAGAGAAATGAGGATAAATATTTTTATAATAATAATAATTATTATTATTATAATTCACCGCATAACAACAACAACATGATGGAGTACAAATTGTAAAAAAAAAGAAAAAGAATTGCCACTAGCCAACCAATTTAATTATTACATACCAATAACTACAAACTAAAATGAAGACATTCAGGAAGTACACTGAAATGCCCGCAAATAATCAATGCGCTCAAAATTTCGACCTTGGTTGTGAGTTACACATGAATCCAACTAACCAGCAATCCCATGTAAATATAATGAATTTAAATCTATCCAATTCTGAGGTTAAATCCTCTTCGCATGCTATATGCAGTGTATCACCTTTATTTGACACTAGTGTAAATCAGATCTTGACATTGGATGCTGACTGTTATAAAAACACTGCTGCATATCCTGGCATACCTAGTTGTCCTGAAACTCCACTGGTTTCAGAAGCACAAGGATTATTTAATACCTTACACAGAGTTGGTTATACACATCCGCGTATACGTACAAACTGCCATTCACAAGCTGGTACAAATCGTTCGCATACAAGTGATAAACTCTTAACGTCATCATCAACAACAGGTAGATTACAGAATAAGTCATTGCCATTCCTACAGACAGTACCACATTTTATCTATATAAGTAATCCTAATAATCAGTTGACGAATCATTCAAAAGATACATGTTTACCAAAAAATCTTTCCACTGATGAACCGATAGAACACGTGAAAGTTATCAATCAAAAGTGTGAACATATTTTAGAGAATAGTCATATTGTCTGTCAAAATCTCTGCGCTCACTCACCTTCTTCTCCCATGTGTGAGTGTAATAAGCGAAGGCAAGAAGACTGTGATATCAGCGATATCTTATTCAATGGTCGTCATTCAACAACATATTATCCAAACAGTCAATATCAGTGTCCTGCACATTCACAGTTACATACGGCGCAAGAGTATTCATTGAAAGAATATCTTCCGGAGCAGGGAGTTAAGCTCAAGTGTGATTCACTTGCTTCATCTTCAGCAAACTATGAATCTGGTGAAAGGTTGGCTAGCGGATTTTCGAATTCAGTGAAATATATGAAATGTTGTCATAGGTAAGTAGTACAAAATTGTTTTTGTTAAATTTTATATAAACTGAGGCTTCCAATGACTAAATTTGCAAACCAAGTCGTCACACAAATAAGTAATTTAAAACAATTAGTTCCCTTTATGAATTTAGACAAAGCAATAAGAAGACGTAATTTGTCTGAACCGTGCAGTGTGCATTTACGTAACACATTTTGAACAATATGATCACATACACCGACTTGTCACTTGAATATATATGAAATTAATAAAGATTTAAGAGGTGAGAGATAGGACTTATTGAAGGTCAAAATAACAATGAACATCACTAAGCCAAATAACAGTGGTAATAGTATATCTATCCTGGCTGGTATCGAAACAAAGTTTACTAAGGAAGGACTCCCACAAACTTTAGAATACGCTCTATCCCAAACACATTTCATAGATAGATTCAAGATATGTGTTAACGTCAACTTTATGTCCTGTCTCTATGATATGTTTCGCAACAGAGGAGCTAGGAGTCCTGTTCTCACCATTAGTAGGTTCTAACAGTTCTATTTACTTCTGGAGCCAGCTGAGAATATGCTGAGGCCAGGCCTAACTTGCAGAGATGGATGAGTCCTCCCTGTGTATGCGTGTCCACAAGTGCATTGAAATTAGTAAATACAGTGGGATGTGACATCATTTTTCGCATGCACAAAGCGCTTAGATGGATATATCGGCTCCTTTCTATCATCAGCGTTCAGTCTTCGTCTAGTTACCAAGCTGCTATGATTACCCATATAGGTTAGCTTGATACACACGTCTTTCTTAGTGGCGAGTTGTCGAGTGAGTCTTAGTGTTCTGACTACTTTATATCTGATTGCATGGAGGATTTCATCTTGAGCTGACATCAGTTAGAGAACCACTGGAAAACCACCTGGACAGCTGTTTCGTCCTAGTTTGAGACTCTTCACAGTTCACACCTTCCAATGGGCTCGAATCCAGGACCTTCTGGTTACAAGGCGAGCCAGCTCGTAAGCCACTACGCCACTGGGACCCAATGAAATGCTCCTTGAATTCTAACTTCTGCCAATTCATGACATAGCGCGACCACTTCGTAATGTCTTTTTCGATGAGTTACTGCCTCACCTGTTGCACACTACTGGTCATGGCTTCCCACTAGAACCCCAGGTTAACTGCGTGAATAAGGCCAGTAGCTAGTAGGCATCAGAATAATTTTCAAATATTGGTTTTGTAGGGATTTTGACAGGTTGGAGGATTTCATCATGAGCTATCTCCTGATGGACTTGTCTGCATAATTATTATCAACCAGATTTTGTGTCAACTATCTTTCTTCTTCACCAAGTGTGTTTTTGTATAAATAAGTAAGATAAAAGGATCTGAGTTGCTTTAAAAGTAGCAATAGTGTTGATTTACTTTATCCCAAAAACAGTACTTATGATACAGAGTGGAATTCTGAGCATCTGCTAAAATATGACAGCTAGTTTATTTAACAGGGTATAGGCAACCGAAATAGATAATAGCACTTTTTCGCCATTAGCAGTAACAATAAAGCCGAAAATATACAAAAAATATGAAATTATAATGGCGGTAATAATATTAATAACTAAAATTATAGGTTATTTGAAATAATATCACTATAAATTACAAATAGGAGCAGATCAAAGAGTTATTTATTTTGCTAATTACATAGTAAGCTATAAGTTTCAAGCTGAACATATTCTCTGACAAATGGAACGCTGGCCAAATAGTTGTGAGAGCATGTAATCATTTATAATGACTTCAAGTTCTATCTGAGGATATGCAGGGATAGAATTATACATAAAGAGGATGCTGAGAGTAAGATAATTTGTATGTAGACTTTTTCTCACATGAGTTTATGTGTCCGTCGACTACAATAGTAACGAGCCGGTTGATTTAATAGCACCCTACTAGCCCTACTGATAACCTTTATTATTCTTCATAATATGATGTAGTCCTCTATGAGTAGACCAGGAAAAACTAAGGAGGAGCCATATAGAACAATATGTAAAATGCAAAAGTTAAAAAGCCTTAAAATGGGAGGTCAAGTGATTCCTGATTGTCGTAACTTCTCAATGTAAAAGGTTGGGTAGAAAAGTTTTCAGAAATCAACAAACTACAGGATCATCGAAAAATGTTAGAGGGTAGAAATATTGCAAGGTATTTTATGCTTGACTTGGTTTGTATTTTAGTTTCTTATATGCTATAAGCATCTTGTGAACGAACAAATTCGTGTAGGCCACGTTTGTGCCTGAAGATGAAGTTAACTACCTAATATTTGGTGAGATTTAAGTTGCGACCATTTAGCTTAGACCACCGATTGATGTCCGAGTAAAAAGCCATTATGTCTGGAATAGTCAAATAGGGATGTAACTGTCAAAGAGACAGTCAAACCATTAGCTCTATTTACCGAAGCTGATTTCTTCTGAAAAAGGCAAGTCATGTAAGAAGAAAGAAAAAAGAAAAGGAGAGAGAACAGTACCTTGAGGGGCTCCAGCTTCAGTAAGCAAGGCCGAGGAAGGCTTGCTTTTATATACAGTATACTGCGTTCTATTCGAGAAACAAGAATGTAACCCTTTAGTAGCCAAGGAGTCGGTTTGTGTCAAGGAAAGCTTATTTAACAAATGCCATCTGAGCACAGAGTCAAAATCAGATGTGTAGTCAAGGAAGGTACACGGAAAATATTTTGCTGCTTTTTCCAAGCAGAACTCAATATTCATTGAGTCATGAAGAAAATAAAAGACAGATTCGGCGAAGAAAATTTTCTTTATCGACGAAATCATCTTCAGAGGCTGTACAATCGTATTTATACTTACAAAAATATATAGTGGTATATTATTGAGTAATAGGGGGTGACATAATTGATGTAATTACTCAGAAGTGGTTTTAGAAGTGAAAATTAAAAGTTGTAAATTACATGGTGCCGTTTTGTGCCGTTGAGTACCAAATAATTTACAACTTTTAATTTTCACTTCTAAAACCACTTCTGAATAATTACATCAATTATGTCACCCCCTATTACTCAATAATATACCACTATATATTTTTGTAAGTATAAATACGATTGTACAGCCTCTGAAGATGATTTCGTCGATAAAGAAAATTTTCTTCGCCGAATCTGTCTTTTATTTTCTTCAGAACTCAATATTATGATGGATGACAGAGGCAGCATCTAGAGTACTTCTGCCCTATTCAGGTGCGAATTATTTAGGGGTCATTAAAACTTTTCAAGAAAGGTTCAAGTTTGGGCAAGAGTAATGTTTCTACTAATTTCAAAAAGGAGAAGTAATTGCTATAGGTCTAATTTGGGTATTCATACCAATACACGACTAATGTACCAATGTACTTTTAATGTTTTTTCATGCTACGCGTACTAAATTAATGGAAAAAGAAGCATTGGAAATATTATTGAAAGCCTAATATAAAATATTTGTACATCTCCTGAGAAAAACAGCAGGTACACCACGGGAACCAAGGCTTTGAGAAGGTTTTAGAGACTTGAGATATTTGAGAAAATCAAAAGTAACACAATCACGAGTGTTACCATCCCTAAGATTTGTATCATTAGGAATGACAACATCAGCAGGACAGCGTATGAGGTACTTGTTAAGAGTATTTACTTCAAAAAAGGGAATAACGGTACTTTGCTTACCATCACCAGTAATTTCATTAAAAATCTTCCATATGATTGAGGGAGTTTTAACTGATAAAAGCCATTGGTCATAAATAGTATTCAGACTGTGTTTCAGATATGATTATAATGTGAATCCTTTTGAGATAAGATCTATATTTAGACTTGTCTGACCGTTCTTTTACCCAGTGTAGCCTTTTGAGATGAGAAGAAGAGAAAAGGTCAGATGTTTTGAATAACGTTACTTTCCGACAACAGATATCGAGGCAGAATTCAAGTTAATCATTTATATTTACGATTGCATCATTTAGTGTATGCTCAGTAGATTGACCCCAGTTATTGCCCTTTAGCATGTATCTAAGACTATTTCTATTTTTCTGTGTGTGAGATTTCTGTCAAATTTTCTGGGAAATGTGAGATGAAACCTATTTGTATGACCTGTCACATTTTCTCGGATATTGGAGCACGTTTCTGTGCCTCGTATATTCCATTTTTATTTGTGAATAGTAAGTCAAGTAGCGAAGCTAGCAACGTTTACATGACCTAGTGATTCAAGGAAAGGATATTTACAGAAATTGAAGTTTCCTGTGACCATTGATAGAGAGTTCCCAAGACAAGCAATAACAGAGTTTTCAAGAGCTGGTTTGTAAGAATTAGATTTACTTTTACTGATATCAATCCGTGGTCAAACTCTTAAAAAACTCTTGAAAATTAATCTGATACTCGCTAGCGATTTGCTAAAGGACGGAGTTTCCTGGAGTGATTTTTATTGAGAAGTCGTGACCAGTGAGGTCCAACCAGTGAAATGTGAGGATGGATTTCCCACTGATGACATGGATTGGTGGTAGCGCTAAATCACGAATTAGTGAAAGTTAGAATTCATGGGCTGGCCATTGAGGAGTCGGATCCCAGTGGCTGAATGGTATACGAGCTTGACTTGTAACCGGAAGGTCCTGTGTTCCAACCCTTCTGTGTTGGGTCCGTTCTGCCGACGATTCCCAAACTAGGCTGATGAAACAGCTGTCCAGTACTCTCAGATGGTTTTCAGTGTTTCTCTAACTGATATCTGTTCTTGGTCAAACTCGTAAAAACAATAATAAAGTATCTAAATTTGTCAGCAAAATTACACAGTACCGACAGGTAACACCCAGGGGTAAAGTAATGTTTGAAACAAAATATTCTTATACCTTGACTAGGGTTTGGGACGAAATTTTACAGTAACACAATCAGCAGTGTCACTGCAAAATGTAAAACAAACATTGTTTGAAATCGACCGCTAAGAACTGACGAAAGCTGCCACTCCACCGTCATATTTCTTTTTGGAATAAGACCGATCCTGTCTGAATAATATGAAATTATCTAGCGAGACCAGAT